TGTTACCGAAGGTCACCGAACCGATCGAGCTAACTCGAGTTCACAAAGTGTAGCTCAAGTTCACTTGTTGTGGGAGTAACTCGAGTTAAATAACCCGACTCGCCCACCGCTCGTAACTCGAGCGAGCTCTGAAGGTCACCGATGGGCTGTATGAATGAAGTTATCGGTTCGGCGGCGGGAGGGCGGATCAACCGAGTTAGCTCGAGTTCATGAAAAAGTAACTCGAGTTGACTCGTTATAGGAGTAGCTCGAGTTAACCGAGTTAAATAACTCGATTCGCCCATCGCTAGTTCACAACATGTAAGAACTATGTAGAAAGAGGATCCCCTTAAGAAGTAGTGGTCAGAACTGAAATAGTTAACCTCGAACGTCGCCGCGTCACGCATTCGCCCGAATCCTTGAATAAAATATTCACTCAACAATTATTAAAACGGCCATCAATCAACTGACGCTCGTCTATTTTCGCCGAAAACTTAATTTCGTCGCCCGCCCATTATGTCTGATACGGCGTCAGGAACGCTCATATACCGCATAATAGTTTTTAGGAGCAATTGCTCACGCACGCACCTTATAAGCCATATTATTCGAACAATCTGTTAACTATCCGTTTAGTCAAATATACGGCACAAAAATGTTCAAGTCTAATAATTTAACTTGTCTTAACGTAAACAAGTAATTGAATGGAAATAAATAGATTAATCGGATATGAAAACTTTATTACGTTACATAATTTTAGGGATAGGAAGATTGGTGAAATAAAATATTAGTACATAAACTTTAACACTTATAATCGGTTACTTTGTTTCCCGAACTACATACATTTTGTATTTGGTTCGTGATTTCAAACTACACATAAATTATAAAATAATATTGAAGGTTGAGTTATTGTAGGAGTCTAGTTGGATATATATATATATATATATATATATATATATAGATAGATAAACACTTTATCCACTAATATGATACAAACTCGGATTGAATACGAAAGGAAAAATAAAACATTTTTGTCATAGCAGTGAAAGGATGCTGACTCAGCATATGCCTAAGTTCCCTAAGGAGCTGATTTTCAATCAGATCCAACGAGAGGGACTTAATCTAGAAGTTATTTTGTAGCAGTAGAGCTCCTTGTAAAAGAGTTCGTCCAGGAAAGTACTGCCATAAATGTTCCTGCCGCCAAGCTGTAATGTGAGAATTGCTGCGTTCTGGTTTTGAAAGATAAGGATAGTGGTGAAATTGTCTGACAATATTTCAGGGTGACGATAACGGGCGCAGTGGCAGTGCTTCCCAGATCTTTGCAATTTAAATCTAAGAGTGGCAATGCAACTATTATAGACAGGCGTGTCGTTTACCACCAGGCGCACGATTTGTTCGTCCCGTCATTTAGTATCATAGAACAAAAAAAAGATATAACAAATGACTAGGAGCGAAATTAGTCATGAAATAATGAATGTAATCAAGTAAAAAAAAATAGATTATTAGATAAATTAGATTATTAGAAATTAGATTATTATAGAGAATAGAGAATTAGATAATTAAAATAGTTGTGAGTCGAACCTTTTATTTTCTTACTAAGGTATTCACAGACATGCTGTGTGATAATTTGCTACCTTTTTGATAGTGCCATTTATTCCTAATTCTAAATCGTGTCTCGGCTTCTTGTACACAACTATGGACAGGTCATCTACAAATATGGTACTATGTGGTCACGGGCAAATTATTAATATACAGAATAAATTATTATTTATTCTGTATATTAATAATCCCTAAACCGAAAAAGGTCCCTAGACCGATCCTTGGGGTACTTCAACACCATTGACACAGTTGAGCCTTAAAACTAAGATAAATGAGCATTAAAAATATAATTTAGATACTTATATTAAAAACTAAGTAAACGTATTTATATTTGTATACATATATTATATTAATTATAATATAATTTGATCTGAAAACATGTACACAAGCGCAAGCAAATTAGTATCATAAACATTAAATGACGGGACGAACAAGCCATGCGCCTGGTGGTAAACGACACACCTGTCCATAATAGTCATAAAAAGTAATACTTTGTTATTTATTAAATCATTAATTTATTAATTTATTAATTTATTTATTACTGTTGATTAAACTGGATATTTCTAAAAAATCGTTTTAATTTTTCGTGGCGTCACTGCCTTCGCCTATGTTAATAATAAAACTTAATAAACTTTTACACTTATTAAACCGAGGTACAGAGTAAGAAGGTATCAGGTCATTAAGAAAGCCAAAGTCGCAGGTAAAGAGTCACAGATAAGTAGCAAATAGAGAAAATGAAACGTGTCCGCACCGCACAGATGTGGAAGTTAATGATTAATAAGATTGCTATTATGAATGGGGTTTAGTGGCTTATCTCTAACCATTCACGTGCGGCTGTGTTTTCTCAGTACTAGGTCGCTAAATTAAATAGACTAGAGATGCTACGAATAGTGATTTGGCCGAATACCAAATATTCGGCCACGCTCTCGGCCGAAGCGTCGAATATTCGGATCTGTGCATTTCACACGCGACCTGTTACGACCTGTCTCATTGCGCTGCGTGCGGAGGTAACGGGGGTGGGGTGTTTTTGTTGAAAAATGATAAAACGATAGAATCAATAAACATGACAGTTTCTGGACCTGTTTTGAAGAAGTCGGTACAGATAATAGCAAAATTTTGAGGATGTGAAGAAAAGTTCTATTTCACATGAAATTGATTTTTATTTGAAAACTGTTCGCCTAGATTCCGATCTAGGCGAACAGTTCCACAGGACAGCAGATCCTTATAAGTGGTGGTCAGCAAACGCAAAGCAGTATCGAAGAATTTCAAAATTTGCTAAGATTTATCTATCGTCTCCTGGCATTAGTAAAGGGTATTTTCAGAAGCAGGAATTATTTATGAGGAAAAGCGCAGTCGTTTGTTACCAACCAATTCTGATAAAATTGTTTTTATTCACAACCTGCCACTGATTGATTTTAAATATTAAAGCAATAACTTGTGATTAAAATACATGATACATTTATATATGAATAATATGTGCTTTTTTTTCATTATTTGACACCCGGTACCGAATGAATCGGTAGTTGTCGTATTTGGCCGAATACCAAATATTAAAAAAGTGGCCGAACAGGCCGAATACCGAATAGTAGCCGAATATTCGTGGCATCTCTACTATATACATGTATTAAGCTGTGGTAACCTAATGGTTTGACCTACCTCCTCTCAAGCAGAGGCTGTGGTTTTGAATCTGGGCTTGCATCTCTGACTTTTTCGGAATTTACGTGCGAAATTTAACTTGAAGTTTTCCATGAATTTTTCAGTGAAGGATAACATCATAATCTGCACGTCGAAAAAGGGTTATTAACCCTCGGAAAACGTGTGGAGTTCCCAACCCGCATTGGTGAAAATTCTTGCTTTTCTATTACTAAGCTCTCCATGATTGATTTTATATATATTGTTGATTTAGCCGGGTTTTTATGGAATCCTTGTAGGTATGTGCGCCTTCTGAATTTCCCGGCGAGACCAGCTGGTGGGAGGCAGCTAAAACCGATTCGCTACCAAACAAAGATCTCCAAAAACATACAAAGCTAAACTGATATAATGATGCTAATGTACGGATTCTGATGTACTGATGCTGATTACTGCTGCTGATTACTGATGATGTACTGATTCTGATGTACTGATACTGATAATCTGATAATTCTGATAACTGATGATGATGATGTGTGTGTAAAGTAGACGTAACTTCTACGTTGCCCTGATATTGTATCTCGTGTGTCGAATTCACGTTAAAATATCACGAAAATTACACACGCGAGGATCCGGCTCGAAGGACCATAAAAATGTACGGTTTGTTCACCTTTCAATGATAAGAGTCTGATATAATGTGAAAGTTTATTGCTAAAATGATAACTGATAGATGGAATGTGCGATGGCTCGCGAGTGAGTATTAGAACTAAAGTGCATTTCGTAATTTATGCATTTTTGTTACTTTAACCTAATAACCGGTCAATGGCGCGATGTGCTTATCCTACAAAATGTACGTTCGTGTATCAATCATACAGTCACCGTGGTGGACTACGGACTAGACCCTCACCTAAGAGGAAACCTGTGCGCAGCAGTGGGACGTAAAATGAGTTGATAAAGTACTATATACATATACACTTATTATTTAGATACTATGCATTTTTAGTTAAAGACGTAAACAAATACTTACTTTTCTACGAATCAGTCCCATCTGCCTGTAACTTCATCAGCACCCTTAACCCTTCAAAACCGGAAAGTGATCACATTACTACTTGGCAGCAGAAATATGTAAGGTGGTAGTACTTTCACGTACGGACTGTTTCATAAGGAGCTCTACTAGTAAACATAACCAGCACACCGCCCCGCAATTTGCCGATATAGCGACATTAGTTTTTTCTAACCCGAAATTTAACCCTCTCCATCAATTACCAAATTCAATTAATAGTAATAGTCCAACTAGTCTTTATTTTTGTCGTATAGATCCTGTTTCCAAATGCAATATCTTCAAATGAAATATAAATAATTACTATTTTAAGAAATTCTCATACGATATATCTAATAGTACAAAATAAATTTAGGGCTCTGAATTACTTCAGAAAACGTTTTTTAAATAGAGAACTCAATCCACCGTCCTCCAAATTGTGGTGTACAAAGTAAAGGTTATTAAACGCAAGATGGCCTTAGTAAATCAATATAAAAGGATAAAAAACTTCAGAAATGTCATTTTAAATATTATCATTTTAATCAATAAAAATAGCAATGACAATAAACCAAGAAAAAGATACTTCTTATCTGGGACGGTGGTTGGTACAGTTATATTATCCGTACAGGTGGGATATGAATACAAGATTGTACTCGCGAACTACCTGTTGTGTTATTACAATAAACAGTACTAACCTATCGAATCAAATAGAACCAACAAGGCTGTGAATTTGTACATAACTTGATTTATTTCCCAGGTGACGGCAGCAAGCAAAGCAGTGCTGGTGACGGGCTGCGACAACGTGTTGGGTAATGCACTGGCCCGCAGGTTAGATGACTTGGGCTACCACGTATTCGCTGGTTTCCAGAACAAGGCAGGCAATATTGACGCTGACATGCTCAAGGAGGACTGTTCTGGACGACTGCACACTCTGCAGCTGGATTGTACTTCTGAGACCCAGGTAAAACAGTTACTAAAGCAATTAAGTACAATTCCCACATTACTGTTATAAATGACATAAGTTTGGTTTGATGGGTGCTTGAATATTTGTTACTTCATTACGGTGATTGATGTATAAGTATATCAACACTTGAACTTTATTAAAAATGAAAACATTATTTTGTGTTCAAGCCTACACTAAATGTTAAGTGGGTATTACAAAGGCTTCAAATGTTGTGTACAGGATACAATTACAACAGAAAATAACTAAGCCAATATTTAATTGGAACGAATTGGACAAAGCTTTGTAAACGAGTAACGCGCCACTGTATAGCTCGCAGCAGAGAGCAACAGTAAATTATTTTGGATGATAATAGAAAGGAAAATGTGGCTATGAGCCGCTGGTTGTGTTCGCCCACAAGTTACTCTTACACGAGGCACTGGGAGCTTGTAGAATCAGCGCCGCACTCTACCTACGTGTATGGTGTCTCGATTATACTCGCAAATGATGACTGGTGAACACAATTTGTGTGTATTCTACGAAAATTTTAGTTAGGAATCTTATCTACTTCTTATCCCTGTGTTTACTTATTCATTGTGTGTATAGATGTCTATAAATACCTGACAACCTCTTGTGCAGTATCACATTGGTACTTGGCTTAATAATACCAAAAAATACTATTATTTATATATTATATCTGAACATTTAAAGGTGCTGGTGAAATTACAGTTACATGAAACTTGTTTACTTATGTCTCAGGGTGACGGGCGCAGTAGCAATGCCCTTCAGATTGTTGCACTCTAAAGCTCCGAGTGGCATTGCAGCTGCTATGGACAAGCGTGTCGCTTACCACCAGGGGCCTTACCATGAACCCTTATTACAGTTCAGTATTGGTGTGTAACGACAAAAAAGCGGGATGGTGATATACACTTCATGTAGCGCTCACAACGATTCGTTTTAGATCCCAGACTGAATCGTAATAATAGTTCATGATAAGGCCCCAAGCGCACGATTTGTTCGTCCTGTCACTTGGTGTCAAAAAAAAAGCACGGTTCACAAAAAGTGCTTACCTGACTAGTAAGTTTAATTCTGAACCAGTGCTCAATAACAAACAGTCAACAACAACTTTATTTATATTTATAATAAGTCATTAATTATTTATTCGTAAAGAACGAAAGTACAAAACAAGGTAATAATAAATATATATCACTTATGTTTGAATCATGAAAGACATTATTATTATTGTTTCCCGTCTAAATATTGAGTGGACACAAATATAAGGAGTATTACGATATCTATACCTAAATACAGTTTTAGTAGCAGTAGAGCTCCTTGTGAAAGTGTTCGTCTAGGGAAGTACTGCCACTTTATTTATATCTGCCGCCAAGCAGTATGTGAGCATTACTGTGTTCCGATTTTGAAGGGGTGCTAGTGAAATTACAGGCACATCTGACTTGTTAACTAATGTCTCAGGGTGACAGGCGCAGTGGCAGTGCCCCTCAGACCTTTGTGATTTAAAGCTCTGAGGGGCACTACAAATGTTATGGACAGGCGTGTTGCTTACCTCCAGGCGCACGACTTATTCGTCCCGTCACTTGATATCATAAAAAAATATATTTAAAATTCCTCCTTAAAATTATAACGATCATTTCACATTTTTAAACGGCGAACTTTGGTTGAGATTAATTGGCATAATTTTATAGTAACGAACGGCTCCAGAGTCCGAGAACATCAACCGGGGAATTAATTTCCTTTTGAGCTACAGATGAATTGAGCTTGGCGAATGGATAAAGTTATCCATTCGCCAAGCTCAATTCATCTGCAACTTTTACCAACTTGATATTGAAAGGTTTCAGAAACATAGGTCTCGTTGTTGTGTAGTATAATGCTGTTTTGAATTTTGTGTACAAATGAAGCAAAAAAACAAAATAAAGTTGAACAAGCAGTTTTTGGTCATTATTAACTTTAAACATTATAAAAAAACACAAAAGTTTAAAACAACTCAAAAAGTAAAAGAAAAACAAAAACATGCTGGGTAATTCTACAGATAGGGATGTGACATTTAATTGATATCGACATTACTTTTCATAACTAGCGGAATATTGAACTAGGCATTGCTTTATACTTGCTATAATTAGGGTTAACCACGGAGTATATGGAAACGGCATTTAAGGCAATTTCATCGAGAACTAGCGTAGCTGACTTTTACACGCACACATTTGTTACCAAATACGCATAAGGTTTTTACTACATGCAAATATTAATTGATATTACAGAAGCAAGCGTGTGCGTATACGTAGCTACATGCTACAATCACAGTATTAATGATTTATTATATTGTCATCGTACTTTCATTAATCTACTAGATTTGAAGTCTATCCAATTACTGGAAGGGTTGAATATTAAAACACAGTCCTCATAAAAACCTTTATTTTCCCTGAAATTTGATATATTTGTTCAACAATTATCTTTCTGAACTGGCTGGTCAACGTCGACGAGCTTGTCAAGAAAATGAAGGCACTTATTTCCGAAGGCGAAGAAGCGAATCATTTGTTTCATGAAAACTTGACGAAAAATAGCTAACATTGCTTGGAAATGTTTTCACATTTAGATGTGATCTTTAAATTTTGAAGGCGACGCTGAGTTTCATGTCATATATTACCCAATTAACCAAATAATATATTTCTTAATTAATTTTTCTGTTGTTGTTCATATGTACATAATGTGATGTCATAAAATGCATACAGCAAATGGTGTTACATTTTGTAGGTACCCAGCTTTTTCTGCCTGTAGCTTCAGCCCATTTCTCCTTTAAAAAGGATCCGGCGGGAAACTAAAAAAAATCAATACAAAAACTGCAAATATAAATCATGCCTGTGATAAAACTAAGAGCTCAAGCGAATGAAGGTGACGTACAATACGCAAGTAGTAAGATAAGAATCACGTAGACAAGGGAAAGAAAATCTCCATTCTTATAAAGTCTTCATTTGATACTCCACGAGTTTACGGGTTGGTAAAATTATCGATACTGTACAGGGTCAAGAGCACGTCAAGCTTGACATTTAACACTTAAATCAAACTCTATGCCGCTTAAGATAAGAACGGTCCAAAGGGCAAAGTGTCAAACTTGATGTGCTCTTGACTGTACCTCTCCTATCTATATTTCCTTTTTTCCATTAATATATCGTTTTTACTTAAATTGAAAATTTAAAAAACTGTTGCGAGTGTTGGTACCAAAACATTTAAGTAATCAAAAGAACTCGATAATCAAAAGTGTTAGATTTTAAATACCTATCGAGTTCTTAGGTTTTTGCGATTGTTACACATAGGAAATGAAACTATTTTACCGGATTTAAATCGCGTATATTTGTTTTTTCAAACAAACCTACGATTCGGGCCCTTTACAGGTCTCATGTTCACGGTTGACTGAGGTGGTACAGTCTTCAACCAGTTATGTCTGATATTGAATTTTAATACCTGTAAACAATTTATGTTTACACATTGCTACCGCTACAATAAAAAAAAATGTTGAACTAAACCAAAACTGGGTTTTTAAATACAGAGTTTCGACATATCGATAATTTGATTACAACCATAGATATGGAAAAAAAGGGGAGATATGTAATGACGCTATGTCGCCACTTTTTAGTTTGTGTGCAATTCAATCTTTACGCTCTATTATCTATACCATAACTTAAAGATTTTGATTGGGTAGGGTTTAAAACGTGAAAACGACGTAAAACAATTTTAAAATTTAACGAAATTAAACTTACAGTCACTTGAATAAGAGTTATATTACAATATTTCAGTATTTTTTCATCCTGGTTCAGCCATTCACCGACAGGTGGCGTTTTAGTAAAAATACTACCAGTATATAATAGCCAACTATTACACGTTTGATGGCGCTGAAACTCATTTTTCGTTACACTAAGAACTCATGGAGCGGTTTTCACCCGCGTCTGCCGCGGGACCGCGGCATCTGTAGAATGTAACAGTTAAGTATGTAAAATTAGTAGCACATTTCACGGCGCGTTTTCCGCCTGTAATGGTGACGGTTGTTCGCGGTTGCCGCGGCAGAGTACTAGTAGAACCGCGCAGGACGCGATGACCTGCGCGCTTGGCGGCCGTCGTCACCCGCACACTGGTTTTAAAATTTTTGTTTTCATTCCAATTTTTACAAGGTGTATCGCTACAACTTGGCATTTTCACGTTTTACGAAAGATGTTGTATGTACAACGATCGCCATGTCACTGTGGCGATGTTTGTAGGCGTGTCACCTCGATATGGTGATTTTGACCATATCGAGGCGACACGAACCACGCCCCCATACCATATCTCCCGTTTTTTCTATATCTATGATTACAACACGCGGACCCAGTACCAAGTGGAGTACGTCGGTAGTGCAAGCAATTCATTGAGCGTCATTCGAATTGTTCTTTTGACGGCGGCGATGGCTAGCAACCGATGTATATGTTATTATTGGGTTGCAAGAAAATGTTTTTGTTTCGAAATTAGTATTGTATTGTTCAGAATATTAGAAAATACAGAGTTTTAGTACTTAACGATGAAATGAAATCACTCCCGGAGTATTTTCTAAACTTTGGCCTCTTATGCGACATGATATTGCACAATACGGCATATTTCAATTTTTTCCACAAAATAGCCTTGTATCACATTTGAACTTAGAGCATGGAAAAAAATAAAGGAAACGAGCTGCCCTAACTACAGAATGAATGTGCATATCTAAACATAAATTTAAGGCTACAAATCGCGGCTTTCTTTAGTGTTAAGGCAGCTCCTTTTCTTTATTTTTTTCCATCCTCGAAGGTCTAACCATTTGAATGACAACTGACGCGATGTTGACACTCATGGAAACATCTGCTCATAAGCTAGGTAATGCGAGCCCCGCCCACTAACCAGTCTATTACTATTTATGTGGTCTGTGATGTGAACTTTTGAATAGGCAGAAAAAACAGAATTTCTAGGAATAGATTGTACTCGTATATGGGCACTATATATGATTATATTTGATAACTAGAAAACGTACTAGAAATGACATTCTAATGAGTTACGAAATCTTCAAATTTAACCGACTATATGCTTATATGACTGTAACAAGAGTGTTAAGCCAAAAAAACCAATAGTTATTTACTATCTACGGTATTTAGTGTAATGTTGCCCTTTAGATATACTCAAATTAGCTAAATTTATCATTCATTAGGTTATGAAAAAATGTGATTAGTAACGTACTCTAGTGGCGTAAGCGAGTATCAAAAGGTAACTAGATACCAATTTTTTCCACCAGATTCTGTCTGCGTCACTCTACATTGTGGATCACCTGCCAGAGGGCGCTCAGGGACTATGGGCGGTTGTCAACTGCGAATCGTGGTGCGCCCTAGGTGAACTAGAGTGGGTTCCATTCTCCGTAATCCGCAAAGCCATGGAAGTAAACCTTTTAGGTAAGTCACTAAGGCTACGCATCGTGAGATGATGTTGACGCGCGTAGCGCGATGACGCGCTACGTAGTTTCTAGCTACGTTCAATAGATTGCGTGAGCAGTGCTATGAATGAGCAGAATGAGCTAACTCAAATTTACAAGCAATAAGCCCAAGTCAATAAGAAACATTGGGCGCTTAATATAATAAAAAATCGATTATATCACCTTCAATTCGATTTGACGACTTTTTTGAAAGAATGAAATTGTTAGTAGGCCTTTTTTGTATATTTATTAGTAGGTATTATAACATAATTATGTCCTTTTAATGGCCAAAAAATATAAAAAATGTATAAAACTGGTTGTGTTTTTTCATTGGTTATTAAAAAATATTTACTTAAGCTAAAATTAATATTAAAAAGAAGGGTAACTTGTGTCATAAAATAAGGCATTTTTCCAATTCATCCCTGTTAGAAATTAGTTACGTTAATATAATGTTACGTTCTTCATTTAGGCATTCCTTTATGTTTTTTATGAAAAATTAATTATTTTACCTAAATGCCTATTCAATTTTACATCTTGAATAAACAGTACATAAAAAGGTTTTTCACTGTATTGATGTGTCGAAAGCAACCAATTAATTTTGTTGTGTTCCTGATTAATTAGCGAAAATAAATGGAGAACCGCTGATACGCTATTATACGGTTCAGGAAAACATCAACATTCAACAATCTTTAAATTTAAAAATTGTAGTTTTCAGCAATAAGCAACCAATATAGTATATTAATTGATTTAACAAAACTGTTATAGCTAGTTAATTATTTTTTTGCATCTTTATACCACAATAACCTATTAAGATTTAACAATGCTTATCCATAATTTGAGTCTAGTCAGAATTAGCGACTAACAATATCATCTGAGGTGGAGATTGAAGGTAATTGAGGCATTGAAAGAGCTTGTTGAATTATTCTACCATGTTACATTTTGCGATGGCAACATTTTGAATGAATATAACGTTAGCGGGCCGCACTATGAAAAATCGAGGTCTGTTTCAGATCAAAAATCAATAACTTTCTTATTTGTTATAATTATAAATACAAAGATCGAACACTCAGAAAAAATTCCTTCGATCCGGTCGGATTCGAACCGACGTCTTCATGCGTACCGTGCCAGACGCTATACCAACTAAGCCACGGAACGAAACCGACCGGATCGGAGGAATTTTTTCTGAGTGTTCGATCTTGGTATTAACAATTATACCAAACAAGTGGAGTAATTTCACAAAAAAGAAATTGAATATCAATTCAATAAAAATTTAATTAACTTTCTTATTTGTTAAGATAGACTATTGAATTTTTGCACAAGCATAGAGTATTCAATACTGCTTTAGTTAAAGTTCAGATGCTATACTTTTATAAGAGTATGTTTATTTTTGAAAAAAAATGAATATTCAGTTCTTAGGTTTTCGCGATTGTTATACATAGGAATGAAACTATTTTTCCGGATTTAAATCGCGTATATTTGTTTTTTCAAACAAACCGACGTTTCGGGCCCTTTACAGGTCCCATGGTCACGGTTGACTGAGGTGGTACAGTCGTCGAAACGTCGGTTTGTTTGAAAAAACAAATATACGCGATTTAAATCCGGAAAAATAGTTTCATTCCAATGAATATTCAATTCAGAAATAGCTTTTATTTGATTTCCTTAAGGACAACGCTACTTATATTATTAATAAAAATGTATTATTACATTAGTTTTTTTTTTAAACAATCATGTTTAAGCTCTTATCTATTTAATTAAGAAATTAAAAGTTATAAGATTACAAACACGTATAGTAAAAAAAGTTACAAAATACTAATTTAAAAGTAAAATAATGTTAGAAATGTATGTACATCAATGTGTATATTATGTTTTATTATACTTGTTGAACTTCAGGATCCAAAATGAGTTCATTCACTTTTAAAAGATCCAGGGTATCTTCATCAAGTGCCTTCACACTTTTGCTATATGTTTTTCTAAGACTGGAAATGTACGGATCTGACGTGTAGAGAAGAGTATGAAATACATCCTCATTTGTAGCTGATCGAAAGTACTTCCTGGCATGATGTAGGCGAAATTTTTTATAATCCTTATTACGGGATTCTTGTGCATCTTCGGAAAGTTGACCAATAGGAATTACACCAAAATGCTTAATGACACTTTCACCATGAATCAAAATTTTGTGTACTGAAGATGGCATGTAGTACCATTCATAATTACTTACATAAATCCTGGCAGTTTCCATGGTATATTTGCCAAATTTTTCTGCATTTATCATTACGCCTGATGAAAGAGCTTGTAAAATAATATACAAGCTTTTGATCAAATTCACATCCACTCCGGTGATTTCAGAAGAACAATTTGCGTTGTGAAAAAATCGTCTAGCAGTATTAACGTCATTGGTATTACCACTTCCTTGTTGTGGTTTGTCGATGATCAATCCTAGCTCCTCCTGAAAAAGTTTTTGTACTAGGGTTTTCTTTTCTTGCTTTTGTCTTTTCTTTTCTTCACTTGTGGCTGACAATGTCCGAAAAGAAAGATTATATGAGATATGTAATACCATTTCCATACAACGAATCCAGGCATGCAATGTGGAAAGTTCGTATTGATATGCATTTTCATTTTCTGGGCTACTAGTGACTTTAGTCAGATCATTCATTTGCCGTGGAGTAGCTCCACAGATTGTACACGTGGATCCAGATGGTGTATCTGTTAATACTTGCGCTACTTTGCCATCTATCATAGTCAGAAAGAGTTCGTGCTTCATACTCACTCCTTCACCTTGTTTATTAATTAATGATGGCCGCAAGGAAATTATTTGGTTCTTTATTTCATCAACAACAGCTTTAGTTTTTTCAGGAGTTTCTTTACACAATTCTATCGATATGGGCCGACAAAAACGGACTGACGAAGGCACTGGATTTTGCCAGACAATGTCGCCAGTAAGCTCATTGACTAATTTAATAGGCACTAACGACGTAATAAATAAATTTGCATCAGAAACAAGTTCAGACTCCTCTGGAAGTTTTTATTTGTACTGACTTTGACCAGATGAACCAACACATCCCCATTTACTGTATAAAACTAAATGACACAATCCATTCTTATACACCGAATCTATGGCCAAAATCCTAGCTACAGTGTGGTCCAATAAATCTTGAAGGTTTAGTACTATTGCATGTGTATTTGTAATTTCTATTGCTGTAGATGGTGGATAACATGTCTGTTTGATTTCTTGTATTTTATAAAATGGTGGGAATAGAACACAGTCTCGTTCGTTTGTTAAATTCCTTAAGTATATAATTGTGCTTTCGTTAAATCTAAGTCAATGAAAACACTCAATGCTTCTTGATCCATTAGCATTTTGCTCTCGCTTGCGTTTTCTATGAGATTCAAATATAGAGACTTTGTATGATCATGGTCAGCAAGCCTTAGTTTTTCCACGAGTTTTGATTCTATTTCTTCTCCTATTGAACGTAAGCCCTGAACATAGGCATTGCAAATGTGTTCAAAGCCATATTCACTAAATAGCGCGGTATTTTTTCGTTTTTTGGTTGATTCTGATGAGTCTCCATAAGAGACACAGGGTCTTCCGCGTTTCCCAGAAGAAGTAGATGGCGTGATGTCAGGTGTTACTTCTTCAATGCTCGGTAAGGTTACCAAATATTCAGAATCCAACCAATTTTCGTTCTTTTTTAGAAACGAATCCTTTTCCTGGACGCTTCTGCCCATCGTTTATTAAAGGAAGGAATGAGATTCCTTTGAACATCACTGATAATAAAACAAATGTTGTCTTCAGAAACATGATAGTTTTCTTTTAAAACTGTTGATAGGGTTTCAAGCTTTTTCCTCCTTCAATGTATAAGAGTAATAATTCACGCTTGGAACACTTGAAAGAATTTGACATTTTGAAATTCAGTGATGATACGTAAGAATCAAACGTCTGTTTAGTTTTATTATCATTTTGTAATAGCTTTATTAAATTAATTCACTCTTCTTATATAACTTCATAAATGAGGGTAGGGTGCATTTTGTTGATTAAAGTAGTACCACAAAATAAGTGCAAAATGTAGACAAAACGCCCTGTTATCAATAAATACCTATAATTTATTGAAATATACCGCAAACTACTCCATTCAATAGTACAACATAAGAAACCACAATAGATAGCGGTTTTTCGTTTCTTGACTTAGGTATATCGTAGTTTTCGCGATAACTTCTAAAACCTCACGTATCCGCAGCTTATTTTTATAAATGTTATTTATGAATATCTGAGCTATAATCTCAGTACAGAGTACTAAAAAAACCGATCGGTTCTCAGTACTCAAAGTATATTGAGAGAAAAACGCCTTGAATTGGAGAAATAGCAAAATCAACCATTAAAGTAATTGCTCCTAAATTCAAGTTAGGCGCTATTTATAAAAATGAATCTTCGTGCGTGAACAGCCACCCTTCGAGGTGGATGCTTTTCTTCAAAATAAAATGGGACCACTATGGAAGTACTCACTCTCCAACAAAAAAAGAATCATGAAAATCGATTCACAAATACCGGTTTTATCGCGTAACATACATACAAAAAAAGAACATACAGACGAATTGAGAACCTCCTTCTTTTTTGAAGTCAGTTAATAAAACAGCACCAAATGTAAAGCACCGGGAGACATCGGTAACTGTCAAAAGCCTCGATGAATTTCAAATACGTACCTTTTTTTCCCCTCACTTTTTGTATTTTTTTTATAGAAAAATAATCAAATAATCCACAACATTATAATTGCTTTAAAATCTATATACTATGGGCTTTTTAGAAATGCATAACACTTTATATATATATTCACACAAGTTTTTGAAAGAAATGACATTTAAAGTATTGAAGCGAACAGACCTGAAATAGACATTCTTACGAATTACAATGTCTCACATTAAAAAATATGTATTCCGAATGCAATTCACGCAAAATTACTACATTATATTAAAGTACCACTCAAATACAATTTAAAAAAAATTAAAGTGCGTCAATAACGACTTAAGTAAAAACGATTTTGATATGCCGTTGTTCTATCATTTTCCATAGTGGGCCGGTACGCCGCTGGCATCTATAGAGATAAGTTTATGATGATATAGCCTTGTGTCTCTGTAATTAGAGCTATTGTCTATATTCAAATGGCTGAACAGGAACAGTAATCAAGTTATTTTTTGATAGAATGTGGAATTTCGAATTATATATTATTTTTATTGAACATTTTTAAAGAAATATCCATTAAATGCTTATTTCGGTAGACATTGTACAAAACAAAGAAGAATGACGTTAACGTAATTACGAAGACGTGGCATAATATTTTTGCACAGGAATAACAAAATAAATGAAAGGGGGCCCTACGCATTTGGCACAGACCGCCAGAAAAATGGACAGATGAAATTAAAAAGATTGTACGCATGACACTGAAACGCACTCAATGAACGTAGAATAAAATGGAGGCCTATATCGACAGAAAAGTCTTTAAATAATTATATTTTGGCGAAAATGAATTGCATGAATTTAAAAAAAACGAAAAAAAATTATTGTTAACATATATTAAAACTATACATAATTTAATTAAATGAAAATACTATTCAGGAATTAAACGAGTTATTAGTATTATTATGACTGACGTAGACTTAAATAACAAGCGATCAAAAATTTGTATCAACAACATATTATATATTTATGTTTTCAAGCATTGAATTACAATTATATGGACGTCGGGTCCGAGCTAAAAAGTGTCCGCACTTGTAAGGCGCTAAAATCGTATACAGAGCGCCAAACTCCGCTTTAGTCTTCATTTGTTCGACTGACAGCGCGATACTGCGATGACATTACAATTTAAATTTCGAATAGGTTGACTTGGGACATTTTTTCGTGGTTTTTGTATTAGATCCGTCGTCCATTTATTTGTAAGTCAATGTTTTCAAGTAACGAAAAACACAAATTTATAAAATAGATATAACATCATAAAAACCTATAATAAGTTTTCATGACAACAGTGTCTCTTTCAATTCTGTCAGTATATAATGTGGAATCAGCCGTGTTAATTTACTCTTACGAATATTTAATTTATTTGTTATTTACTTTTGTAATACGATTTTTAACTTAAAAAGCTTATATATTAAACAAACATTATTTTGTTTCCTTTGTTATTTAAATTAATTCCATTATTAACCGACTTCAAAAAAAGAAGAAGGTTTTCAATTCGACAGTGTGTTTCTTTGTGTATGTATGTAACGCGATAACTCCGACATTTGTTAACCGATTTTGATGATCCTTTTTTTTTCCAACAAAAAAGAATCGTCAAAATTGGTTAGCGGAGAGGGTACCTCAATAGTAGTCCCATTTAAATTTTAAGAAAATATTCCACCTCAAAGCGTGGCAAACTAAGGCATGAATGATTTTAGAGGTCGTTTGTTTAGTACTCTGTACTGAGATTATTATTCGTGACTATCGTGTATTTCATTTTTTAGTGCCTTGATGTGTAATTGATATGTAATTGTAAATATTGGTAAATATTTGAATATACAGACTGCGTATTTTCGAGTTTAATTTCGCACGCCATGAATGGCTACCAAATACCGAAATGGAAAGTATGGAAGAATCGGCCGTTCAACTCTGAAATCTAATATAAGCGGAAAAAATTGCTTTTCAAAACACCAGAATTTTTGAGATTGTTTATTTAACGCACAATTTCATGAAGTTATCTCTCATCAGTCACAGTAGGTACTTGCAAATCTTATGCCCGCAGTGGTTGTAAATTTCAAATTTCAGGGCGATTGACATTTGTGTTAGATTATAGTTTTCTGTATAACGATACATATAACGGTAGCAATTTCAGCATTACAAGATTCATATCTCACCACCAGGGAGTAGTGTTGGGTACTTGTCCCAACATTTTCAAACGGTGGAATTTTATCACAAAATTTTTCCATAAATATTTTTCAGAAAAGTCCTGCAAAGATAAATGAAAAAATATTGGCTCCATGGTCACACGTGACCTGTAAAGAGCCCGAAACATTGTATGGAACCTTTGAAAAAACAAATATACCCACGGGATTTAGATTCGAAAAGAAAATATTTTCTAATATCGAAAACCTAAGAGCACAATATAGAATTATTTAGAAAATTTTCTATTAACCAAGGGATATCTAATTTACTACAGAAACTATATTAGTATTTTAGTAAAGTTTTTACGATAACCATAATTACTTGGACGCCACCACAAACTGAATCTTGCCTTGGTTTGTTTATTATTTGTTTTTGTCCAAGGCCCGGCTCGTTTGGTGCAAGTGATGTTGCCGCTAGTGAGGCGAGCGCGCGGCCGCATAGTTCTTGCTTCGTCCATCCTGACGCACGTGGCAGCGCCTGTGCGCGGCGTTCACGCAGCGTCATTGGCCGCTCTGGATGCCCTTGCTGCCTGCCTACGCCGTGAACTCAAACCAAGGGGCGTTGATGTGGTTAGTATTTGTCCTTTGACAGGTGTAGTGTAATAAAGGGACGTTGCTAGCGCACAAGGTCATTTATCTGCTTAGAAATATAAAGATGTTTACGTTCGACTATTTTTAAGAATTTTAGATTTATTTATGTGTTAGTTTTTTGTTTATATCATTCGACTCAGATCTCTTTTTAATTATTAATTTCAATGTCGAAAACTTCTCGCACAATCTGCGCTATCATAATTCTCAATGTTTAATTTTTTCTGGTCAGTCATTCATTATGATCAATTACTCAATAAAGATTACGTTTTAGACACAGTAAAATTAAACACAACTCTTTTATACATCATTGATAGTAAAACTACCTACACACATCAAAAAAAGTTTGCGATCACTTCGAAAAACTGAAATCTTTTTTGTTACTGTAGATTATATTATGATTTTTTCTTCTTTTTAGATTCTTTATTTAAAAATAAATTAGAACATAAAACAATGACCCCGTTCAATTGTTTTTTCATATAAAAAGGCTTTCAGTCCTAGCTTACGCTCATTCAGAAATCTGATTTAGTCAATTATAAGCGATTCAAGATATTTTTCGCGGAAAGTTGTGATTGAAAAAATGCCAAGAGGATTATCAGAGGTTTTACGAGCTAGAATAGTAACTTTGAGGGAAGAAGGATACACCACGAGAGTAATAGCACGCAGACTTGCTATATCCCAATCCTGTGTCGTGGCTACGTTGCAGAGGTATCACGGAATGGGGAATTTAGCTGACCGACCCCGCAGCGGTCGCCCAACTGTTTTGACAGCTGCCCAAAAGCGCTATATTAGATTGCTGGCAGCCCGTGATCCAACAATCAACGCCACTAAAATAAAAGCAGAAGTCAGGGCCGCCTCTGGGCTTGAAGTTAGCACGCAGACCGTTCGCAATTGCTTGCACCAGGCTGGATTACGAGCACGGAGGTCTTGGCGAGCTCCGCTCAATTCCCGGCAACGTCAACAACGAAGATTGCAGTGGGCTAGACTTCGGCAAAATGAAGAAGGTGAGGACGAAAACATTTGGCAAAACTGTCTCTTCGTTGACGAATCCCGAATCAGCACTCATCCAGATAACCGACGTGTTCGTGTCTGGAGAAGACCAGGCGACCGTGAAAGACAAAGAACAGCCACTGGAACAGTTCAGCAAGGCGGAAAATCGGTGCCTTTTGGGGTGGCATTATGATTGGAGCTAAGGCGTTCGCCTTTGATCCCGTATCGGGGCTTCATGACAGCAGACATGTACAAAGCAGTTGCTATTGATGATATCGTCAGACCATTCCGAGTAAACCATGGGCACCAATTTGTACTGGTCGATGATAATGCGCCCGCACATCGAGCTCAACGAGTCAATGCTGCTCTTCAAGAATACGATATCACACGATTAGACTGGCCTGCCGGCTCGCCCGACTTAAACCCAATAGAGCACGCGTGAGATGCTCTTAAACGAGCAGTATGGAACCGTGAGCCACGTCCCCAGACAGTTCCAGAGCTCAGGGAAGCCGCTATTGAAGAATGGGATAGGTTACCCCAGGAAATGCTGGATAACTTGATCCTCAGCATGCCCAGGAGGATCTTCGCATGTATTCGAGCCAGGGGAGGAGTTATTTTATATTGAATTCACACCTTTTAATAATAAATTGTTGTTTAAGTTTAATTAAACAGTCTTTTTCTTTCTATGAAATTTCTATCACTATTACATTATGATTAATGGCTCAATTTTTTAAAATAAATAATAAAAAATTGTTTTATATTTTAATTTCAAACAGGGTATTCCTATTTAAAGAAAGCATACAACATAGATTTTTTCTTGATAAAGTTAAATTTAAAGAATTATAGGAGCTTATGCTATTGATCGCAAACTTTTTTTGATGTGTGTACATCGACATTTTAAATGGAGTAAAATAATATTTCTTTTCCTTTAAGATTAATATAAAATTCGTTAGAATGGTCGATATACAAAATTTGTGGTTAGTCTTCATACTTAAAAGTCAATATTAAAATATAAAATCGAACTAGTAAATCTAAAAATAAATGTTGGTGTCTATCTAATCAACGCAACAACCCAACAAACATTTTACTCGTTTATTTTCTCCTCATTTACCTCCCACCTCCCTCACTTTGGACGCTTTGCGATCACAGGCAAAAGGCAAATTTCGATTCCGAACGCTTTGCTGCCAAGAGCGCGCTGTGTACCGAAGTCGAGAGTTTCCCATCAATCTCGTATTTGAGCTTTAACCTCATAAGATATTCGTTCAGGACATTATCGATTGTCTGTGAAGCATCTGGGTAGATTATGCGGTTGGGGTCATTGCGTTTGAATCTAAACCGGTAGAGAAATGCGGCGTTGCCGCGGTGGCCGGTTCACGCTTGAGTTAACCAGTAGGAACTGTTAACTTTTCCAGTAACACAGAACGCCTGGCAAATATACTGAAATAAACGCTTGGTGGTGCTACCAATTCGCGGACACGGAATACAAGGAGTGCCAAGCGTTCAGACTTCATTGGCGTATCAAACTATCTGGCGTACGAAATTTTGAATCAGTGAACCTGTTATAATCTGCTGTCGTTTTTATGTGGAGTGCAGCATGCTTGGCGAGCTCATCCACGAGCTCGTTGTCTATTGTGGCGACGTGAGCGCGCATTCACTAGAACTTAATGCTGCAGCGAGTCGTCTTCGAGGCAGCCCAGAGCCTTGTAACCCATCTCCGATAGGAAAACACGATGTGGGCAATGTGCATACAGAAGAATTGAGTTTTAGTTTTTATTCTGTTGTTCCTCGCCGCCGATAGTAAGCCCCTATTGTCACCAACATTATAGACATTTTCTGAGGAGAGAACCTGAGCTTGTGATCTGTGCCCTACACAGTGCCTTATACAAACGCATCGCGGATTGCTTATTGACTCAATATCCACGACGAGTCGCGAAGATTATTACTACCACGGCATTCACGTTAACACCTTGAAGTGTACTGCATTGCTTTCCAGTAGCTCGAGTAGCGAGTCAAAAACGACTAAATAATGAGCATATTTGATGGTGATATATCTATGTGATATAACTATGGGATAACTATCCACCGAACCGTACACTACCTGCAGGACAGCTCTTCGACACCATCTTAGCCTTAGTGGTCGAAGGTATGCTCGTACTTGATTTTATTTCCTATCACCGGAAGTAAACCTATGAGATTTATTAGTCCTTCGGATGTATGTAGTTTCCCTCACGAAGTTCAGGTATTACAGATACCCGAGTCGACTTCCATGTTCTGGAAAAAAGCAACACGGCTACGACCAATGCTCGGCAAATATTGGCTGTCAAGCCATCGGACTCTGGTGCCTCTTTGGATGCATGGGCGACAGCAAGTCTAGGATCACCATAAGTGTTCGTACTCCTGACCTATGTGGCAAATATTATATAAAGAAAGGAATCTATACTGCCGACACTGAGTGCAAATGACGAATAAGTCCTTGGATTATAGGTTTAACGATTCCAAAATATCTGCCTTGCTTCTATGAATCACGCGTACCTCCGGGTTTGCAAGCGATATAAACTATAATAAACAAACACTAAATATTCGCCAACATTAAACTTGTACACAGATCTCATTAGCTGCGTAACATGAGATTCAACAGGATTTGCAACCACAAATAGCTCTATTGTACATGTGAAATCATACGTGCGGGCGAAATTGAATTTATTGGAGTATATTTATATAGTGAAATAAACTCACTCCATGCGGATCGAATATTAATATTCCTCGGCGACTGTCTCGTTGCCAAAGGTCACGATTTAAATACGTGAGGAATGGCATACGGAATATCGTCGTAATATTCTGAAAACCAATTATATGAAATTTTTACAGAAATGATTTAACTATAGTAAAACACGACGTAATTGCTTATGTAAAATACAAATCATTTCGGTTTTTTTATAATACCAAGTGACGAGACGAATAAGTCGCACGCCTGGTGGTAAGCGTCCTGTCCATAACAGTTGCAGTCAAGGGATATAGCTTATAACGCATTTTTTTTTTAGTCTGTATAATGCGATTGGTGGTGATACCGCACTGTAATATTACTTTTAGGGGAAAGTAATGTTATGAATAATGGTAATATTACTAACTAGCAAAGCAAGCACGGAGTGAAGGGATATAGCTTATAACACATTTATTTTTAATCTGTGTGATGCGATTGATGGTGATACCACACTGTAATGTTACTTTTACGGGAAAGTAATGTGATATTGCATTACTACCAATGTTTTGAGCATGTCTATTTTTATTCTAGCGGTTAAAGTTTTGATTGTAGAAGCGAACTGTGATGACCGAATTAAACAAAATTATAATGTCAACTATGATATTATTAAATAGATTAACAATCCAATAACTTCGAAGTTTGAGTACCTAAATAATACTGTGTAGCGTAATTGGATAAACTTGATGTCCCACACCATGCGAAATTACCTTTCCAATTATAAAATAGCTTCTCTTTAACCGCAGAGTGAAATTAAATTCTACCACCAAGTTGCAAATGGATAATTGAGTTTTGATTGACGATAACAAAAGATCTTTGTGTTAAAAAGAATATTAATTGTTAATTTATTTCCCGCGTCGTTTAAGATCGTTTTACATTTTATTCTGTAACGTGATAAATTGAAGCAGATGTTGTATGGAAATAGGTATACAATTTGTAACCTAACCTGACTTTACTCCCAGGACTAGAACTATACCGATTCCGTTTGCTACAAACTTCTTAGCCGTTGACAATTTTTGAACACTCGTCAGATAAAGTAACAAATTCTCTTGAAACTACTGGGAATACTGGAACTAAATATTTACGCCAAGCTGAACTATGAACTGTATTATTAATTTTTCATTTCCGTTCCTACAGAGTACTGAATTTAAATGTGAACTAAAATGACATTCGGTAGAAACATTTAATGTTTCTAATATACGTACGTAATGTATTTTTTATTTCTAATATTTAAAATTTGTAACTATGTACTTTACAAAGCTACTATAGAACAGTTTCTGAAACCGAAGCTGAGCTCTGATATGTTGCTTATACCATGTAGCTGATGAATAATTACACCCATTGTCTAAGAATTATTATTATAATAATGGATTAAGACATCTAGATGTTCTCCTAGTTTCAGAATAGATTACACTGAAAGGAAGAAAGTTTCGTGTTTCCTAATAAAGCTTGGGTAGAATGTTAATTAGCAACCTCGTAACGTAATTGCTCTTTATTAATAATACATTATTGCAGAGGTCGGGAAGTAAGGAATTGCTGGACGAGTATGAGTTACAAGGACGAGCGCCAGCGAGGCCTTGTTTTAATACGAGTCAAGTAATCCCCGTTCCCGCCGAGGAATGAATAGCATTTTTCTCAAACAATGTAAGGAAATAATAAAAGACTAATATAATAGAAAAAGTGAAAAAATATTAATAATTATTTGATGTGTCAGGACAATTGCTAAAAAATAGTTACTTGTTATGCAACGCTGCAAAGTTGTTGTTTGACGCGAGTGCTTGTATTTAAACCTGAATAAGCGAAGGATTTTAAGATCGAACCACGAAGGAAGGGAGTCGTTCAAAAATAGAATCCTGAGCGTAACGAGGGTTTCAAGTCACGAGACCCAAAACAACTTTGAGCGAAACACAATTTTTCACCTCACTATATTGAGGAAAATGGTAGATGAAAGAAAAACAGTTGAGCTATAACAAATCAATTTTAATAAACAAAATTAGTTATCGTTGTCAAATTAATGTCAACAATAATGAGAATAAAAGTCAAGTGCTCCATGAAATATGCCGTCTTGCAACATACAAACTTGCAAAAAAATCTCTGCTACATCCAGTCTAGTTAAGGATGGAATTACATTCCATTTATACGGCTATTTTTTACATTAATTACTAGTTTTCTATTTCAACACATTTTTTCACAGTGATCACATTGATTAAATTTATCGATTACATAGAAAATATTTGAAAACATTCGAATATTTGACATAAGCATGCCTATGAAGTTCCTTAATTACTGACAGGCAACCACTGACAAAAAATGCAATAATTCATGAACGCTATTTTTTCGTTAGAAAGAAGCGAACGTGCTTTTTAGCTCCGTGCATTTTTATCGATAGATTATATAACGAAGTTTATTCAAATTGATTTCTCCGTCGTATTATATACTAAATAATAATGTAATAAATTAAAAACAATGAAAATAAATTGTAATTGTTTTAATATAAATCATCATAAATCATGCCGTACTGTAAGAAAAAATAAAAATAAAAAATATACATATACATACGAGTACATATTTACATACAATACACATAAATTACAAAAGCAATCAAAATAATCAAAAACTAACTGTCCTTATCCTAAACAAGACATGCACAGAAAACAGAAAAACGCCCGTTACATCAGTTTCAATTTTCGAACCACAAGCGATTGAAATATTTAGATTTAGAACAAAGAAACTATTGAGTTGATTTAATGTTAGTAAATAGCTTTATATTACTTGCCTAGTAATAATAGCCTAGTATTAAACATACTTTGATTACAGTAAACTATACAAATTTGCAAACATACAAAACAGTTTCAACATTCAAGCCATACATTTGCATGTCGATATTGACTTATCTATGATTATGGTACAACACTAAATCCGCCATTTGTGGTGGACATTTTTGGTTTAGGTAGGGACGTTTATTCCGTAGATAGGGCAGCTCCTTTCCTTTATTTTTTTCCATCCTCTAAGAACTAAACAGGTAATATTAATATAACTAAAGCCATTTTGAGGTAATACTATGTTAGTTGTCATGTGCGATATGTCAATGTAACATGTACTTTGGTTTCCATAGTCTAAGCATTCAATGAACAGTGGTCAAGTTCGAATTTCAAAAAGATTTGCGTGGAAAAAATCCCCATTAAAATACTATTTTACATGTTCTTAGAGGATTCTAAGTATATATTATATTAAACTTTTTAGGTGAAATTTTCGTGGTTTGCTAAAAACATCTCAACTGATTTTCAACGCCAATGTTACGTTAGATTTATTGTCTTTCCATAAATTGATAATGGAGTTTCAACTTCCTTTGAAATATTGACTTATTCTTAAATGAATACTCGAAGAATTAGCTTATTTTCGCCCTTGAACGCGTAGGTAAAGTTAAATCGGTTCTAATACAAGGATATTCAAAATGTACTCTGTTAATTAATGTACTCTGTAGCATCACGTTGTGCGCGTTATTATGTTTGTTTATATTTTTCATTACAAATTCCATTGGAGCTGGAGTCCTGCAAGGCTCTGTCCTCTCGCCCCTCCTATTCTCCCTGTACACTAGCGATATCCCGAAGTATCAGTCAGTAAATCTCGCCCTCTTTGCCGACGACACTGCGCTCTATTATTCGGCGCGCAGCTCCAAGTTAGTTTCCGCGGCTCTCCAATCTGCCACCACGCGCCTAGGTGAGTGGTTTCGCAGATGGAGAATCAAAGTCAATCCCGACAAAAGCGCGGCGGTATTCTTCACGCGAAGTAACCTATCCAGTCGTAGGGTACAAAACCTCAACCCCGATCTCGCTCTTTGGTCGCCAAATCCCTTGGGTGAACACGGTCAAATACTTAGGAGTTACGCTCGATAGGAAGCTGTCATTCAAAGCACACGTGAAAAGTGTCCGCGATCGCGCCCACTTTGTAATGAGCCGGCTCCAACCCCTTTTTAACAAGCATAGCAAACTCTCCCTTCGTAATAAGGTGAGATTGTACACGACCTGCATCCGCCCAATCATGACGTACGCCAGCGTCGCATTCGCTCAGGCAAATCCCGCGCTTATACACCGCCTGCAGGCTCTCCAAAATAGATTCATGGCAACGCGACGGGTGCCCCGTGGTAACTGCGCAACGCTAATCTCCACATAGATTTACGGCTCCCCACAATAGCCCAATTCATGAAACAGGCATCGAGGAAATACTTCGACTCTGCTCCTCACCACCCCAACCCCCTCGTGGTGGCTGCATCCAACTACGACCCCCTCAGGGAACACCCCCACCGCGTACCGGGGACCCGTCGGCCAAGGGAAGTCCTCAACGACCCTGATGACCCTATCTCTCTCGCCACTTTGAAAGCCAACCAGATCGCTAATCAGTCCATCTCATCACGCACCAACCGTCCTCGCCGGCCAGGTCGTAGAGCCCCTCATCTCAGCACGTACACTTGTATATTCTCCCCTGCAGCACGCCCTTCTGGCGGAAGTGTCCAGTAGCGCCCTGAGCCGAGATCCATGCCGACTTGGGCACCGTCAGACCCGCTACTCAGTTTTTACGGGTTATGAGCCTTCAGCTCGCCCTTTAATCCGGTGGCGCAGTCAAGGCCATCAGGATAGGTCAAAACTGGGTTCGCGGAGTAGCAAATTAATTTACTTCCATTTTTATTAACATAGAATTCCGCAAAGTAACGCCTGAATCAATTAATTACTTAGTGTTTTTTTTTTGCTTGCAGGTGATAGTAGCTGCTGGGGAGTACACTACTGGTAGCGCTTGGTTGAATGAGGAGAAACTACTGGAACAAGCTCGTGACATGTGGAAGAGGCTTAGCGACGAGCAGAAGGGTGCTTACGGCGAAGACTACTTTGAACAGGCCCTTCGAAGCCTTGAAAAGTACACCCAGAACGCCGTAAGTAAATTACTTTTTATGACAGTTAGCTCGAAGTTCGTAATTTCGCTATAAGCGCTTCTGTCAGCTTTTGGATAAACGGTATGTTGAGAATAAGAAATGAACAATCTTGTCCACCACTCTCTACAAACATTGAATTGCAAGTAAAAAAATTAAATACACATACATTTTTTACGACATTAAGTGACGCGAGGAACAGGTCGTGGTAGTCGTAAGCGATACTCACATAACACTTACATTACCATTCAGAGCTTTCTCGGATTTGAGGGGCACTAGCACTACTCTCACCAAGTCTTATGTGTTTGTAGTTTCACCAGCACCTTCATATACATATATACTTCAAAACCGGAAGGCAACAATACCTACTTATCGGCATATCGACAGCAAATTTCAAATTTTTTGCATGCCTTTTCCCTTCAGCAGATTATGCAAACGCCTACTCATTTCACGTCACACAGCGGTACGCTAATAGACTGCATTTGTTGCAATGCCATGGTAAAAAATGTTAAGGATAATTATATACCTACACTTAGTAGTCATGCGCTTATTACAGGTGAACTTAATGTCCGGAAACCCAAGCCTACTCCACAGTGGATCAGTTTTAGGCCTTTGAAATCCATAGCCCAGAAACCCTTTGATCTGGCTCTTGCATCTATTGATTGTCAATCAAATTGTTGAGTCGTTTCAGGAGGCGGTGTTGTCCTTGTTTGATATTTTTGCACCATGCAATCGTGTACTCAAGAGGGCACATAATTATCCATGGGTTACATACACTGTACACTGTGCAATTAGACACACATGATGAGTTTGCATAATGAGGCCCACGATCGGTGCAAGATGACAGGGCTAGAGTCGCATAAGACTTATTATAGGGAGCTCAGGAGCTGTTTTAATGTGAAAATGCAAAAAAGTTATTCGACCAGCTGTCGGGCTCTCTGGAGTAACTTGAAGCGGTTAATCAATATAACAGGGAGAGCCAAGGAATGTGAGCTTCCAGTGAACTCGCGTTTTGGCAGAGCTACTTTTGAGCTACGAACTGTTGAGAAGAGTTTCGTTGCAAAAGTTCCAAACTCTTTAAAGTCCAATGCGGTGGGGAATGACAATATATCCCTTGACATGCTTCGGCTCACCTTAGCATTATCATTTACTTTATCATTTACTAAAATAGTTAATAAATCAAATATGAGTGGCGTATATCAATCAGCCTGGAAGGTGCTTCTAATTAGACCGATACCCAAGAAGACAAATGTTGCCAACTTAAAGGACCCACCTCTGATAAGATCCTCCCACACCTCTCGAAGATACTGGAGAGAGTTGTTTGTGCACAGCTCACGGAGTACATTGAGCGCAATAATATATTACTGGTGCACCAGTCCGGTTTTCGTAAATCTCGTAGCACGGCGACAGCACTACTGGATATAGTGGATAATATTCTTTGTGCTCAGGATAAAGGAGAAGGTACTATAAAGGTGCGTTTCGACTATTCTCGAGCATTTGACTCAATAACTATCTGCTTTTTACTGTCTAAATTGAATTTCTATGGTTTCTCACCTGCTACAGTTACTTGGTTTGTGAGCTACGTCTACGGGCGCACCCAAATTGTCCGTTTGAGCAATGGAGATGGTACGAGTGGCATTTCTAAGCCCGCAAGTGTTGTACCATTGTACATGGTGTGCCACAGAGGTCTGTATTGTGTCCGATCCTCTTTATCTTGTATACAGCCGATATGACAGAAGTAATCAAGCACTGATCCTATCATGTATACGCCGATGACACGCAGTTGTAACTCTCCTTTAAGCCTAATGATATCACTTCTGCTGTATCCAAAATAAATGAGGACATGAGGCGGCTGTCTGAGTGGTCTGGAAAGCATAGTTTGCTGTTGAACGCGACCAGAACTAAATATATGATTCTCGGTTCCATGCGTCAAGTTACGAAAATATCAGCAAATGATCCTAAAATTTTTGTAGATGGTGTCCAGGTGGAACGTGTCTCTGTAGCCCGTAACCTTGGAGTTATGATGGACGAGAGGCTACTCTTTTAACTACATATACCTGAAATGGTACAGAGATGTTATTACTGGTTAAAAATGTTGTACCGCATTCGTCAGTACCTTAACGAAACTTTACACATCAAATAGTGTGACATCTTGGTGTTATCCGTCCTCGGATATGCGGACGTTCTGTACGGTCCACGTCTGCTGGCTAGAACCGAGCGTTTAGTTCAAAGGGCGCAGAACTCGTGCGCAAGATTCTGTTTTGCCATACCTAAGCAAGCCCATGTCACACCGTATATTAGGGGCATCTAATAGCCTCAAAATGTCTCTACGCCGCGAGCAACATCTGGCTTGCCTTTTGTTCGGTGTGGTTAGGACAGGCCAACCGGGCTCAGGCGTATCCATAAAGATTTCCCCCGTCAAAAAAAAAAGGTCAACCGGAGGACCTGGTGGAAAAGATATCTTGGCGTGATTATGGTAGATACGGTGTTCGTTCGACGGGCTGGGTGTTGGACATCCCTCCGCACAGCACGCCTGCTTTCCGTGGGAGATTCAGATATGCGGCCACGAAGTGTTGGAACAACTTGCCGCCGCCTGTCAAGTTCCTTAACTTAAGTTGGTCTTCTCTTTTAAAATCAAACTGAAAGAGTTATTATCATCATACCAGCCCGAGTTTCCTCCGGGTGGCCATGTTGTTTCGGCATTTTCTAGGTAGACGGTTCACTGACGCAGTATGATCGCATTAAATTTGGGATTTTCTTTAATTTTATTTTTATATGCATTCTGCCTTAGAATAATAACGCATAGAAACCTAGTCCGCACACGCTAAGTGAGGCAAAAATTGAAGCGCGCCCAATGGGCCTACACGAGCGGGCGGGCATTCAGTGCTCAAGGTCAATTTGCACTGCGAACAAACCAAGAATTTTAGCTAAAAATGACGAAATGTGCTGTAAATGAGTAAAAATACGTCAGACAAACATAAAATAGATACTAACATCACATTCCACAAGGAAGTAACGCGTTTCAACTTGTATTTTTATATAAATATTCACTAAAACCGAAAATTAACCTACTACTAAAACTAGCCTACATGAATTTGATTTTTGCCTCACTTGTGACAGTTCGTTTGATATGAAACTATCATTCTATGCGTTATTATTCTAAGCATTCTGCTATTTAATTATTTAAGTTTTTTTATGTTGCTATATTTATCCTCACAATAATCACAATATATATTAATAATAAAATATTATTATGTTATTATTAACAACGCAATTTTGCGTGCTTATTTTATCTTTGTATTTTTTTAAATTGCTTGCTGGCGTTGAGCTCTGCGGGCTTACTGAAAACCAACACTGTGGTAGGAAACTGCAGCATATGCTGAAATAAGTCCCGGCATGACGCTACAACACAGACTATACTATACCTCTATTTTGATTTTATAAACTACTTTGAAGTGTAGTTGTATGTTTAATAATTATTTGTATGTAAACTGTTTTTAGTGTGGTTTTGTGTTGTTGTATTCATGCCAATAAAAACATGTCTATATCTATGTCTATGTCTACTCATTATACACTTTTTAGTAGGCAAGTCAGAACTGGTACTCTTATTCTTAAATGTTTTATTTGTTACTTATGAACAAAATTTGTTTGCATTGAATGTGTGTTTGGAAAATCAGTACACAAATGATTGAATCAAAGAAGAATTAAACAATTATAACGTATTTAGAAACCTGTGTCTAGTTTAAATAGTAACCATAAAAAGCCTTAAAATTTATACCTAAGTTCTTAGAACCCAGTAACATGCAACAAAAAATATATTTCGTTCTTCTGCTCTTCTTACAATACGTAGCAGTACGTGATCGTAGCAATCAATTATTTTGAGTCTCAAAAAAACATCGACTTAAGATTAATTTCTCTAGCGCATATAATTTTCCCTACATTTATTTTTTATAAGTAAATAAGTGCTCATTTGACCTCCATCTCACCTGATGGAAAGCGACGATGAAGTCGACGACGTCGCATACACACTTAAATAGTGCCTATTCACTCTCGCCTTGAAAAGGCTCAAGTTATAGCGTTCGGTGAACACGTCTGCAGGCAGAGAATTCCACTCCTTTGCAGTCCGCCGTAGAAATGTGGAAGGAAAATGCTTCGTGTGAATCATTGGAATATCCACAACAGAGGCATGGAACTCTAGCCTACGTCTAGACGTCCCCATTCCAGCATCGTGGAAATCGAAAAAATTGAATTAAATCATGCAACACTTGCCGTGATGTATCCTGTAGAACACTGATAAACTGGTACACTGATAAATCTATTAACGTACTCTACAAAACATAAGCAACAATGTAGAATACTCAGTATTCCTTTATTTCATAAGAATAGAAAAGTAAAAAAACAAGTCTTGACAGCGTTCTGTAAATCCAATTGTATAAATAAGATTTACTTTTGTAGTATTTTATCCGAAAATGTATTCAAAAATGTGAATAGGAATATTATTTTCAAGAATAACTCACTCCCATGATAATACAATTTTTCTTTACTCTTTTAAGAATGGCGTAGACCAAAGTTGGAGTATTTAAAATTTATTATTTATTATCAGACATCGGAATAGTATGTATATTTACCTAACCTGCTGAAATCCAGGAATTCTTGCATTGTATTTTTTTCCAATATTTTTGATATGAACTAATAGGGTATGTATTAAATTTCTATTGAATTGATATTCAATTATTTTTTGTGAAATTGCTCCACTAGTTTGTTATAATTATTAATACAAAGATCGAACACT